TTGTCCTGTCTTTGGGTGCTTGGGAGAATGGGTGGACCCCCTCTCCTAGCCCCTCAAGCATTGGAAGGCTGCTACCTTGTCAGGTGAGGTGAAGGAGGCACCTGCAGCCTCCTCCATCCTCCCTCTGCCTGTGGCTCAGTCCCTACCTGTGTTCAGCCAAGGCTCTTGAACCAAATCAGCTGAGACCCAGCGACAGGGGCCCATGGAAGACCCCCAACGAAACAGGCTTGAAGTTCCTCAAAGTTCCGTTTTACTAGAGATGTCATATTGGCACATCTGGGAAAACCCCGAATCTGAAAGACTCCAGGTTTTCCCTATCCAAAAGAAAACCCAAGAGCCTACCCAGCATCTACCGGTCAGTCCCATGGTCCAATCAGGCACCGTCCCACCTCGAGAGGCCACCCAGTCACACCCCTCCAGGTGCAGGGCAGAACGTCCTTGACTCCTGGGGAAAGGAAAGTTATTATGACTATGTATCTCCCATAGACCCCCCCCCTCCCAGTTTCCCACAAATTAAACGTGGCAGGCCTGAAGATCCAATGTCCAAGACAGCCTCCCGGCCTGACACCCAGTTGCCTTCTCTGTGCCCCATCCAAGCTTTGGCCAGGTGCCCATTTGGGGAAGCTCTTGGCCAAGGCCCACAAGAGACAGGTGAGGCGCCTGCCCTAATCCCCCTTCTACACAAGTAGCTGGGATGGAGACAATATCTTCCATTGTGAAGGAAAAGGCTGGTTGGCTCCCCTCCAGCGTCTCCTGTGGCTTTGACCACAGAATTACCTGTCTCCTCCTGATCCTCTTTGCCAGCCTATCCTCTCCCTTCCAGCACATCCTCCCCACCTTGCTGCCCTTCACCCCAAGGAGACTTCCTGCCCTGCAAGGTGGGGACTTCCTGATGTCCACAGAGTGGAAATTGCCAAACGTTTCCTTGTCTGATGTTTCCTGGTCCCTCTGTGAGACGGTGGGGAAATTCTCGACCTGTGGCCTCTTCCCATTTTCTTTTCAAAGACAGCGGGCACTCGATTCCCCAGATGTGGGCAGCAGAAGCCTCCTGCAGAAGACGGAGCCCATTCCCAGAAAGGAAAGAAGAAAAGTAGAAAGGAAAGAAAGGAGTAATAAAGGAAGGAAAGAAATATAAGACAGATGGAAAGAAGGAAGGAAAATATGAAAGAGGGAGTGGTGGAAGGGAGAAAGGAAGGAAGAAGGAAAGAAAGAAGGAAAAAGGGAGGACAATATAAAAGGGAGAGAAGGAAGAGAAATGAAGGAAGGAAAATAAAGAGAGGAAGGGAGAAAGGAAGGAAGGAAGAAGGAAAGAAAGAAGGAAAAAAGGAAGGAAAATATGAAAACGAGAAGGAACAGAAAGAAATGAAGGAAGGAAAATAGAGAAAGAGAGATGGAAAGAAGGAAGAAAGGGAGGGAGGGAGGGTATTGTCAGCCAACCACACCCCTTTCATTGGCTTTTGGGTTGAATGCAGTGGAAGGGTCTTTTCAGGGGTGGTGGTGGGGGGTCAGGTCCTCTGGTGTGGGAATCTTCACACTGGAATCCAAACCAGCAGCCTCTTCTTGGGATCGTCTCAAGAGTCTGGGGGCCAAGAGAATCTCTTATGATCCTGTTAGGGATATTGGACGAGGGATTCTGGTGCTCCTCCTGCCCACCCAAATGCCAGCAATGAGCAGAGACCCCCTGGGGGTTTCCTTCTGGAGTCAAGACGGCCTCCAAGATGAAGGGTGATGAACTAAAGGCAGATTCTCCTTCTGGTGGCCACAAGGTCTGTCTAGAGAAGAGGAAGCAAGTTGACCAATGGAAAGGTCAACTCTTCATTGTTCAGAGGGTAGAGGTGCAACTGATGTGCCTTTTAAATAAGTGAGTGGGGGCTATGGCTTCCACTTCCTGCCCCTCAAAGAAGCTCAGTTCTTCTTTGTCTGTATAACTCCTTCTCTCTCTCTCCATCCCNCCCCTGAGATATTGGAAGACTGCTATCATGTCTCCCCTAGTCCTTCTTTCCATTAAACTAGACAGACCCAGTTCCTGCAACCGTTCTTCATATAGTTTAGCCTCCTAATCCTCTTTGTTGCTCTGCTCTGGGCTTTCTGGGTTATGCCAAGTAGCTGGGGAATGGCAGCCTGGCACAAACCAAGGCTCCTCGCAGGAGGAGCTGAGCTTGGCCCTACTCCAGTGACGGAGCAGTCACAATTCCTGGAGGCAAACCCCTCCACTGGTTAATTCCTCTAACTGAGCCTGAACATCTGGCTGGCTGTGTGATGAGCCATAATATTAAAGTGCCAGGGTGAAGTTGGCAGTGCAAGATGTCCAGGTCCCTTCCCCCAACACCCTTGCCAACCCAGGCCCATCAATCTTTCTGGTCAGGGCAATGCCATGACAGGCAAGTTCAGAAGGAGAGCAGCTGCCTTGGTGCCAGTCATCTTGCAAACTGGGCTCATGTTTAACTAGGATTAGAAAAAAAACCAGTCAGGGGCTGAGACCACTTGCCAGGGGGCACTTGGCCAGTTCTGTGCTGGGGGGATTCTGCTTGCCCTCCCCCCCTCCATTGCTGACCAGTTTTCAACCCTGTCCTGGCATGGGGTGGGAGCTGAAACCGCCGTGATCTGGTTCTCCTCCGCTGGGGAGAATGGGGAAGAGGGAGGAGGCTGCCCCCACCTCTTCTGTTGAGCAGAGATGTGGGGTGGGACCCTCAGAACCCAAGCAGAGGGCAGAGCAGGGTGGGCTTCATGGAAGAGGCAGCCGAGAGACACACGGTGTATATTGCCTGATGCCCACTCAGGCGCCCTCTCCCTGCAGGTGATTCTGGGGAGGGGAAGGATTGCCGGGAGACCCTAACTGCTGCCCTGAAATGGCCTCAGGGCGAAAGTGAGGGGGACAGAGGCAGGAAGGGCTGGTGTGTCTTATAGCCCAGAAAATATGGTATTTTACGACCAACCCAATATCTTTAGCTCAGGGTTACACTATGAGGTCCTTGGTGAGGTCTATGAGCTTGGTGGATCTCTTGCAATTCCATCACCCAACTAGGGAACATCATCAGTGACAGAAGGTAGGGGGAGGGGGAGGGGGAGGAGGAGGAGAGCAACTTTGGGGTCCTTAATTCTCTCTGACCTGGGTTGTTTTCCTGTAGGCGTTTCATGACTCAACTAGGGAACATCGTCAGTGACAGAAGGTAGGGGGAGGAGGAGGAGGAGGAGGAAGACTGATTGATTGATTGATTGATTGATTGAAGACAACTCCCAGGTCCTTGCTGCTCTCTGAGCTTGATGATTTTCTTACAGACATTTCATGTCCCAACTAGGTAACCTCATCAGTGCTACAATGAAATGAGAATATAATAACAGAGTTGGAAGGGACCTTGGAGGTCTTCTAGTCCAACCCCCTGAGAGGTTGAGGTTTGCCCTCTGGTTATATATAAGTCGTTTTTGGAGATTCCTTGGTTAGGCTGTTTGATTCTTTGCCTAGTGTTGATCTGGATGTTAATCTCTGCTTATTTGGGTGCCGATTGCTGGTGAGGGAAAAAGTTTTAGTTTTAAAGCTTTTGAGAGCCTCTTTCGAACTCTATGTGGGTGTTATTTACCTGTTGACGGCTGATTTGTCTGGGTGCCAGCCAGGATTTCCCCAGCCTTTGGGGGCTTTTGGGGTGGTCACTCTTTCCCAGTTGAGATTCCGGTGAGGTCTTCCCTCAAGAGCCGAGGTGGCGCAGTGGTTAAATGCAGCACTGAAGGCTACTTCAGCTGACTGCTAGTTCAGCAGTTCGGCTGTTCAAATCTCACCGGCTCAGGGTTGACTCAGCCTTCCATCC